TGCTGAGCACGCAGCTGCTGGTGGACGTGGTGACCGGGCAGCTGGGCGCCGAGGGGGAGCAGAGCTGCGCCGCACAGATCTCCCGTGTCATTCTGGCGGGGAACCTGCTGAGCCAGAACACGCAGAGCCGGGACACCATCAACAAGGTACGGCGGGGAAGGGGTCTTCAGCCTCGACCATGCTCTCCGGGGCCCAGGCTGGCACAGGGAGTCCCGTGGAGGTGGGGAAGGAGGAATCGGAGAGGGCACGGGGTTGTTCCCTCACTGTCTCCCCACTGACCCAGGCCAAGTACTTGACCAAGAAGACCCAGGCTGCGAGCGTGGAGGCCGTGAAGATGCTGGATGAGATCCTGCTGCAGCTTTGCGTGAGTGCTTGGAGCGGGATAGGGTTGGCCAGGGACTTGGGTACCTTCTTAGGCAGGGAGCCTGGCTCCCGAGCCAGGGAAGCAGTGCTCTGCCGGCAGCCCAGGGGTGCGGGGTGGCAAACACCCCTTCCCTGGCCCCCAGCTTCTCTTTGAGCACCGCATGTGGTGCCATACGGGAACGCAGCAAGAAGGGGAGGCAGCTCACAGCCCAGCTTCAGATCCTTCTCCCGGCATCTGGTCTCTGCGGTGAAGCCAAGCGGGGCTGTGGCAGGAGCCAAATCAGGGAGCGAGGCAGGGCCAGCAGCAGGCTCCAGCCGGGGCTTTGCTCTGAGCCCCTTCGAAGGAGGGTGGTTTGGCCGTCCCCGGTAATCCCCGCTCTGCCCGCAGACCTCCGTGCCTGTGGACGTGATGCCCGGTGAGTTTGACCCCACCAACTATACGCTGCCCCAGCAGCCGCTGCATCACTGCATGCTGCCCCTCGCCAGCGCCTACTCAACGCTCCGGCTGGTCACCAACCCTTACCAGGCCGACGTGGACGGCATCAGGTAAAAAATTGTGGCACACCGCCAGCTCTGTGACAACTGCTGGCGGCGTGGGATTGCGGTGCAAGTCATGGCGAGTACAGCCATCCGAATCTCTCCTTCCTTCCCCCAAAATGTTGTAGGTTTTTGGGGACGTCAGGGCAAAACGTCAGCGACATCTTCAAATACAGCAGCATGGATGACTACCTGGAGATCCTGGAGTGGACGCTGCTGGCGGGACACATCAGCCCCACAGCCCCGGACACCCTGGGTAAGGCGAGAGCTGGGCGGCTGCCAAGGTTTGAGGGGCGTTTGCCCCCCGAAGAGGTCCAGGTGCAGGTTCCCCTCCTAATTTCCATCCCTCCCAGGCTGCTACCCCTTTTACAAATCGGACCCTTTCATCCTCACCGACTGCCCTCACGTCTACTTCTGCGGCAACGCTCCCCGCTTCCAGTCCAAGCTGCTCAAAGGTGAGTCCCGCAGCCTGCAGGACCCCCGGCTCCTCACTCAGGGCTGGGAGCCCGCGCCGGGGTGCCGACCGAGGGCTCATGCGCCTGATGCCCGCCTGTCTTTGCAGGGGAGGACGAGCAGCAGGTCCTGCTGGTGACGGTGCCTGCCTTCAGCACCACGCAGACCGCCTGCCTCATCAACCTGCGCAACCTCAGCTGCCAGCCCATCAGCTTCTCCGGCTTCGGGGCCGAGGACGATGACGGGGACATGGAGGTCGGGCACTGACTGAGCAGGCAGGGCACGGACTCGATAAACCCCTGGCCCCTCGGAGGGTCCTGGCACCCACGCCTTGGTGTCATCCCCGTCTGCCCTCCTGGGAGGGCTGGCATGGAGCTGCCGGGGCACGGGAGAGAAGAGATACTCATACCAATATAACTTGATTTATTTGTGTAACAAAAAACTGTGTGGAGGGGACAGGGGC